AGTTGCGCACCAAAAAAATTGATGATCATAAGCCTGACGTGATTACAAGTGACAGACATGCCTTTGCCTATCACACCTTCTACTCTACACTTATAGTGACTTATTGTGAATACAATGATATTTAGACATTTAGATTTTCCTAGCCTATGTTAGCATATGTTAGGATTTTTGGTTCTCTACGAATTGGCGACGACTACCGCATCGAAATGAAACACAAGCTGTACGAGGTTTATCATGGTATTGATATAATTCAGCGAAATAATATCCAGCGGCTTCGTTATCTTGGATAAAGATGCTCCAGCGAAAAAGGTATTTGGAGCGGTAGTTGGTGGAAGAAGGCGTAGAGGTTTTTCCAGTGGAGTGATCAAGTTGAGGGAGCACTAACCGTATTTGATGTAAAAGACTGGAGAAGGCACAGATGCTGCATCAGGAGGTAATCCGGTAACGGGTTGTTATGACTGAAGTAAGTAAGTAAGTAAAGTAAAGGGCTCCAATGAATTACTTATATACATATATAAGCCATTATATATATTGCATATAACATATATAATATATTATACACAATATTATTATTTTAGTTACGTCTAAAAAATAATATTATTTAAGTCTGATGACGACATAAATAGGAAGAAGGCGACCTAGGAAATTGGTATGATGTTGACGGGACAATTTCTTATTGTTAAACATGCGAACTTCATTTTCTCACATCTAGACATCTTTAATTTTTTTTTTTCCTCGATCAATTCGTGATTGATAATCTATAGCTCAATTCTATAGATTATGATCATAATAAAAGTTGAATTATGTTTTGGCCATATGAAGATCATATTCAAGCTAAATATCACATTCATTCAACATTTAATACATTCAATTTCTTGGAGAGTAGATTTAAACAGATGATTTAATAATGAGAGAGAGGGAGCTGTTACAGCTGTCTATTATTTTAAAATATTGGACTAAGATCTATCTAGCAGTAACTGAGGAAGTTTATAATACGATTTCAGATAATATGTGTAAAGTCATGTTGAAAACGAGGAAATACCTACTGTTATTATATATATATAACAATGTTACAAATTGAATGTTGAAAGAAAATAATTGTAAATAAGTTTTATTTATTTTTAAAACTTTGATTGAATTAAATTAAATCTATTTTGATAGTCCCAAGGAATTCGAAAATAAAATTTTCAATAGAATTTTAATGATAGTTTTTCTGTTAAATTATTTGTAATTGTGAAATTTACGAGTGAAAATATTTAGTAAGCTTAGTACTCTCTGTCTTTAAATTAATAATAATAATATAAAATATTAAAAAAAAATAATTCATATAAATAGGAAATATGGAACCAATTTAGATGAGAAGTGATGTATAAATATTATTTTTAAATAAAAACCTTTTAATGTTTTAAAAATATTTTATTTAAAAATTTTCTTATATTTAACTAAATGTTGCACGTTTGTTAAATATATCCTTTCCATGGTAAATAATAAGTATAATTAGCTACAGTCGGACGGACAGACGGAGTAATATGCATTCAATAAACTGAATACAAAAATCAAGTATATGGTATATGTGGGTTTCAGAACTCACTTAGGGATATAATACAGTCGATAAGCTAGCTACAAAAATAATTACTTCTCCATTCCTAGTTCCCAAGTAGTAGCAGAATTAATAATCTTCAAATCACTTGGATTGAAAACATAAGTCGAAATGATCATAAATACGCGATGCTATAAGTAATAATTCGTAATCTCAAACAGATAACAAATTAAGGATGTAGTGTATTAGTATAATATCTCTTTAAAACATGTTTTTCAATCGAAATAACTCCACTATGTTGATGTTGTTGTTTTAACCCGCAGGACCTAAGAGCATACAACATGAAAGGTTTTACAAGTCTAACACATGGGTTTAGATGTGGATGGGTGATGGTTGAAGATAGAGGGATGGGAATAAGGGAGAAGGGATGGATTGTGGATTAGTGGGTTTTAAATTGAAATGAATTTGGATCCAGACGGAGGAATCTGGTCACTTCAAGAGGGTGGGTTCAAATGTGGATTGGACGAATACTCTACTGTGTTGGGTTCGGTTGCATCGGCGGTCTAAAGAGATCCACCTAGGCGTATTGGCCTTTTGTGTTACCGTGTATGATAAAAGCTGAGAGATTTGAAATCATCTTAAACATTTGGCAAAGCTCAAAATGCTATTTAATGGGAAGTCTTGCAGTTGACGAAGATGCTCAAAAAAGGAAGCTCCTAGAGTAGTAAGGCGGTGCCACGCATGTGTTGAACAAAGAGAATGTAAAGTATTGCGAGTAAACCTACCACATTAGTTTTGGATTTCTTTTTAATGAAGCGTGGTCAAATTGCATATAGATGCCGGCTTATCGTTGAGCCTGTAATAGTTTGCATGATGCAAGCGTTATACCCAGATTGTTTAGGTGTTCGAATGATTTCCTGAAGCACCCCGCTTAGCTATCAAAAAACTCTATTAACTACACTTGTTTGAAAATCATGTCAAATTGATCATGACAGTTTTATTTCAAATTATTTAGCAATCTGTTTAATTGAATAATAACTACAACTACAAGATATTTGCATTCAGTTAATTTCTGAGCGGATCATGTCAAGCTAAAATGTCAAACCAAAACACACTTTTTGGTTTACGAGTATTTTTGATGCCGTGATCGAAATTACATTCGGAAGCTATAAAATGTTATGAAAATAGTAAAATAAATAATACAATTTAAAAACTCTTAAATAACAAAATATTTTTTTATGATATTTAAATTGACAAAATAAAAATAATGTGTCATGCTATTCTTAATTTATTTGAGTTAAATATTGACAATATTGAACAGGGACTTCAATGGTCACTTTGATATACTATATGTGAAAGGTATATTAAGACTGACGAAAGACTTGTTGTAGGCAAGAAGCCATCGAAGATCCTATAACAGTAATAGATGCTTAATTCTTCATATGTTGAAGGTATATTAAGATTAACGAAAGACTTGTTGTAGGCAAGAAGCCATCGAAGACCCTATAACAGTAATAGATTATTAATAGCTAGACTAGATACATCGATTTAAGCATGCTTGTTAGATTGTTTATATTAAGATTGACGAAACATTTGTTGTAGGTAAGGAGTCATTGCTGTTCCTATTCAACCTTAGTCAGTCTTTCAGTTGTTTAGATAAATTAATGTTATTTGGTATATAAATATTTTCAAATAATTATCGAAAAGATATAAGTAACTCATAGGTGTAAAAGTGTTTTTTTAATATGTTGGTCTAGATTTCTTCATAACATACTTGCTTGCTACAAATGTAGACTTCCGACCGGCAACGTAGGAAAAATATCCCGAGCACATAAAGGTTAAGATTGACGAAAAATTTGTTGTAGGTAAGGAGTCATTGCAGTTCCTATTCAACCTTAGTCAGTCTTTCAGTTGTTGAGATAAATTAAAGTTATTTGGTATATAAATATATTTTTAAATAATTATCGAAAAGATATATGTAACTCATAGGTGTGACATATACTAATATATTGGGAACTGCACTTCTTTTATTTATTGTATAATAAAGATGTTTCATAAAAATAAGTTTAATGATTTGTTCAAATAATATTCGATATCTGCACAAAGTTCCATTTAAATCAATTCAATTTTGGCATATAAACTTACGTAGATATAAAGCGTCGACTGTTATAGAAAACCCTCTTGTATTTTTGAATAAAGTACTATCTATCTTGTGGTCGCGTTTTAGCTACACTATTTCAATGATATATTTCATTCAAGACATCATATATTTAGTTTCGGCTTTGTTTTTTTTACAATATGGCCCATTTAACAAAAACTTATTTAGAAATAAGGTGGTTTTGTAGTAGATGCAGTTCGGATCAAATTTTCTTTAGTGATGAGAGTCATTTTGCATTTTGTGGCTTTGTCAGATGAGGGTCTGATCAATACTGTCACATGATTAACATTTTCTCTTTGGCGTGAAACTAAACATGGTATATATATGTGATGTTAATGGGATACTGTCACAAGACGTAAGTATAATTGAAATTTTCCCGACGGTTAATTTACGTTTTAATGATGCAAATTGACCACTAAGATCATGTGATCATATATCATATAATATGTATTACTTGCTTAGTGTGCTTATGTGGATAAGCCTCAAGCTCTTGACGCTGTCAAAAAGGACATTCGCTAAGTTGCCGTAAATTGTCTTCTAAGGATCCAATAGTGTGAAATGTTCAATGAAAGACATTTGGATAATGTTATATTTCACTCCTAATGGCAACAATATAGTCTAAACAATCCATTGAAATAAAAGTTTGATAAAATCTCAATCACAAGTATTTTTTCTTTACATTTACTTTCGGAGTCACAAATTGGATAATTCTACACTTACAAGAAATGAAGATCGCTTGAGATATAAGAGAGTATAAGAGAGTCTCAAGTCTCTTTTTCTAAAATATGACCCTCAGATAGTGCAGATAGTTCAATGTAAAATTTGTCAGAACGTGATAAATAAAAACGTTTGAGAGCAAATGATGCCGAAGAAGATTTTCCAATTTTGTAATAAAAAAGCAATTTATTCTCCTTATCTTCATGTCAAAGTCAGTTTTAGCGAATTTTGAATAAACATACTTGAATTGCCGTAATTATAAATTATAAAATGCATTCGATTAAAGTGGAAATAAATTAGGAAATAACACAGACAAAATGCAGAAAATGAAATGATCAAAAAATTTAATGAGAAGAAAACATGAAAAATTAAAATCTACGACAAAAACCCACGCAGAATAGTAACCGCGTCTAATTTATGTAAAATTGCGATTTTAAATTTAAAATAAAAAAGCCGGTAATTCGGCTTTGATGACATGAAGCTAACCCACTGTTGAGGCAAAACAGAGTCCAAAGTTTATCCTCAACTCATTAATTACTAATTTTGATGCGAATGCATAATTGAAATGAATGTATTTTTACTTACGGTGGCGACGGTGGATGCACCAAGCTGAAGAGCTCTGTCGGTGTGTTGGGCACGCGGCGTATAACTATTTTGCGTCCATCTGTTGAACCAATACCAATCGACGCCAAGGAACGCACTGACATCACATCCGAATATATTTGACTTGCTACATGATCTTGACATAAATAGGAACTTGAAGTGAACTCTTTGCCATCCAATGAAGTGGTTGGCTGTAGGTATTGCTGTAGCGGATCGTGTATGGAGAAGTTTAGATCTGGCATGCAAGCTGTAAAATTAATTATTTTTTATTGTTTTGAAATTCAGGATTTTTTCTACAAAAAAATACATAAATAGAATTTATATTATTATAAACATAATTTGGGAGTGTTGACTGAGATTGCATCAAACCAATGATTTCCCAAGTACTTGTTTATTTTATAATTCCATTGTCTTATTGTTAAAAAATATTCTATATCTACAGATTCTATAAGTTCCATAGGTATTAGAATAACCTTCGTTTGTCTAGGTAGGTAGGTGGGTAAATGTGGCAACTTGTCTTATATAAACAACATCGGCTCACTTAGACCCGAGATTTTGACCCAATATATACATATAAATATATACGAATATTAAATATAAAAGCTTGTCAACTCTTCCAGGGAAACTTTTAACTGAACCAGAAATCCACTATGTCGTTTCAATGAAACAGACATTGTCTTTAATGCCTTTGTTAATGATATCGGAGAAACATTTTAGTAAGAAAGATCCTAAAATGAATATGGTACTTTTATGTATCTAATAACAACTCCCATACGAATTAATGACGAAACTCTTTAAATGTGTGGCTTGTAACTATTATTGAACTAGTTAAATAAACTGGTAAGAAATTGTATAGAATTGAGATCTTCATCATCGTCTTACATACTTTCAGTTAACGAATTTTTGATTGCAATCGCTATACTTTGGTGTTAGTATATAATAATGTCTAGTTAGTTACTAATGCGCTGTACATCAGTCTGAAGTTATTATTACCATTGTCAACTGCTTCTATCGAACTAAACTAAACAATACCATATTTATTCATATAGTTAAATATAATAGTCAATAGTATCAAAATCAAAAAATTCTCTAGATCCTTATAATGCGTTATTATTTTCTATTACAATATAAGTGTACAAGAGGTGTACAAGTAAAGTCTAAATCGAAAGTAGAGATTTTATGAAGCCAAAGCTAGGCCAGATCAAGGGCGACGTGGTTTACATAATCAAAATTTAGAACTTAATATATTTATCTGATTAGTATGAATAAAGTCAATCATAGGAACAAGTGAGAAGTGTGTAAAATAATATTGGTTCTTAAGGAAGAGAGTACAATAGAACGACATAGAATCAGGTTAGTTCTGCTTTGTGAAACTCCTGATTCAAGATCGTGTCTACAAGCGTTCAAGGATGAAACACCAGAATAAATGCTTTGTTGCTGTCAAAACTTATTTAGATCCAGAATTCAACTTATGAATGATTCTTTCATTATTTAAATTAATGATATATCCGAAATTGGCAATTGGCAAATGTTTTTATTCGTTTATTATTATTTATTATTATTATTATTATTTATTATTACGCGACTGGCTAGTAGTAAAACACTCAATTTATTGCTTAGGTTATAGCAGAGTGCTCGGTCTTTCTTCCATTTTACCAAGCTACCTAACTACCTACCTACCTACCTACCTAATTCTTCTTAATGTTTCAATATTTGAAAACTGGTAAGTATATAGTTTCTTATAATTCTTTTTGATTTAAAAATTATTAAACAAATAAGTGTTAATGATGTATTAATGGTTTTGGTAAGACTACCTACTTTTACTAAACATCTTTACCATGACTGTATCTTAGATCCTATAGAAATAAACTTATACCAATATGCGCAACGTTTTAAATTCCTGCATTATATATATTTCCTGATAAATTACAAACTTATAAGGTTGTAACATATTCTTATGATCACAATGGAAGTCCATTAAGTAAACATAACATATTTAACTTTATGAAAAACTATTAAAATCTATGAATTAGAACTACTAATGACTCTACAAAACCATCAAATAGTCATTAAAAAGTCTATATATTGTAGAAAGTCTCACAGAAGCATATAGTATGAAGCGTCATGGACAATGGTAAAATAGTTCAGCTTTCAAATACATCGCATATTTACAATAAATAATATTTTTAATACTTGAAATATTGAGATATCAAGAATTTCCATACAAATCAGTAGTTTTATTATCATTTCTCATATATTCTCTTCTTTGGGCCATGCAATTTATCAACCTTGAATGTCTTTTATTTGCAATAATATCACAATATCACCGTATCACAATTATTCAATTTATTTTTAAATGGAATGATATGATAATAATTTATAAATTTTAAAAAATGTAAATAACTCTTTTTGCTGACAAAGTGATAAAGTGAGAGGTAAACATGGAGATTTCATATTACAGACGTCATTTATGATTTCCGAATAACTGAGTTACATGAAAATATTATAAAAAAAAACTTAGTTCGAATTACTTCTTCTTTTGATTTATTTAAGTAAATAAGATATATGTAAACACCTTAAGTGCTATCTTACATTTCAAATTTTTAGTTTAATTTATTGATAAACCAGTACTGCAATGACGAAGCAGTCGTCGCATACTACCATCAACTAGGGGTGGTATCACAAAAGAGGGCATAAAAATTTTTCCACAGGGTTTCAAGAAACATTATGTTAACTTAGCATTGATTTAGATATTGCGAAATCAATTTAAAAAAAACGCAAGTTGGAAATGATTTCAACAATTTTAATACGAAGATATTCTAATCTACATAAATAAAAAAAAAGGATTTCATATAAATTGATCTGCATCATTGTTCCTGTTGCATCGTTGCCTCTTGTGAAATTTTCTTCCAGTCTTGTTTAATTTCTGCCTTTATGCAATAGTTGGCTATTCTTATCTTTCTCAAGACTTTCTCAGTATCTTCTTGACATCTGTTTCGTAATTGTCTTCTTCTTTTGGATTCTTAACGCTTCGCATCAAAAATCTCTAATTACTCTTTTATTACCCATAACTCATCAGGAGATGTCTGTACCATTATAATCTTAAGGCTTGTGATACTATACTTTTCAGTTCATTAATCATTAGGCATATCCTTTACGATATATAACATCTTCCAACAATACGATGTGCATCTAACATAATAATCTAATAATCGAATTTTGCCTATAAGCTGTTTTATTAGTCATCCTTTCTTTACATTTATTAGTTCTTTACATTATTAGTATAAGTATTATTTTATTATTATATTATTAGCTCCCTCGTCAAACGTAAATAGTAAGATTAGAATATTTGAACATAGTGCAAATGTTTCGAAACGTACTTGGTTGACTAATACATCATGATTATGATTATATTTGCACATTGTGATCTATGAGGACTGTAAACCTATACTTTAAAAGAGTCTGTTAAGATAACTTATTTGATGTGCGGCTGTTGACAAATCTAACAATACCTTTTGATTTAATATATCAGACCTCAATGCCCCTAATAAAGATCGTATGGACGTACTGCACTCGTTCAGATCTATTGTGATTGAGAAGTTTGTCAATATTTTCGTTATTTACTTGACTTGGCTTATAAACTTAATGTTATTTTTAAAATTTTAATACACTTATACCCCGATTTACGATGTCCCGATTTACATTGCATTGTGTCGCCAAAAAAATTAAGTTTTGGCTTTGAATTGCTTCGGTTGTGTTTCGATTTGCGTCGATTTTACAGAGGGTACAGAGGGGATTTCTATTTTATTTCTTGTAGGTCACATTGTTTATATGGGGATTAACATGTATTCAGTTTTTAGTTAAAAGGTGTCAGTTTACATTTGTATGGTGAAGTGGAAAGGTAAATTTTAGCTTTATAAAGTCTAAAAATAAGTCAAAGTCAAAAAAGAACAAATTTCTTTGGAACAAAAGTTAGACATTTTAAAACGTTTTAAATTTGGTGAAAAACCTGCTAACGTTGGAAGAACTCTGGGTTTAGCTCCAACTACTATAAGAACAGTTTGTAATCGTGATGCGAACAAGATGAAGGACAATTTAAAAACTGTCACACACTTGCAGGTCAAATAGGTGATAAAAAATAGAAGTTTTAATTGTTAAAATGGAGTCCCTTGGATAGAAAATCAGAATCAAAGAAGAATGTCGATTAGGGCTAATAAGGCTGTGTCGATATTCAATGAGTTGAAAGGTAATTTTCTATCAACAAGTGCTCAAAAACCAGAATATTTTTGAAAATTAAATACATATGTGAAGAAATGTGATTCGATTTATGTCACATTTTGTCGGTCCCATTTAACAACGCAAACCGGGGTATTGATGAAGAAAAATATTTAATCTAACAATTTTTAAAGAGCATTTCGATCAGAATAGTAACACTATTGATACTCTGATTAAGCCAAATAAGCTGCTTGCAATAACAAGAGATGTAGTTGCAATAACAAGAGATGTTTTCAGCCTTCGAGAAATGGACCCAAGTCGTTTCGTGGTCTACTTCGGCTAATTCTTCACTTCAATGGTGTCACTTGCTGGACAGTGCGCTGTCCCAATGTCCCACAGTATATATATACTGTGTTTTGTAATAATTCGAATACATTAAGAGCTACATTTTCGATGATTTTGTGATATCAAAGCTACTTCTAATTAAAGAGGTATGAAATCACTTGACCATATTTCTTTTTTTAATAAATTGACTATTATTGATTAGTGGACAAAATATATTGGAAATCAAATCTTAATTCAGAAAAACTTATTTTTCAGATAGTAACAAATATATTTGTACTATCGCTAGACATTAAGTAGAATGTTCTTGATATATTGTCAAGACCGTGACTACACGAAATAATTTCATTTAAAGCTGTAATAGAAAAAATATAAGTTAAACTAAAATTGCGAACTTATTTTCGTAGAGTCACTGTAAGAATCATTGGAACAGAAATATTGTAGCATTACAGACAACTGTAGTAAATATGATTAGGACAATACATTATAATATTAAAATAATTAGCATTGATTAATTACTTAGTTATTGATATACTAAAGTCAGAGTATAGAATTATATACAAGTACTTAATATCTTAATCTACCGATCGATTCAATATTTGTGCAAATTTTTTTTTTATTAATTTTATGTAGTTTACAGGAGAACTTTGACCCGAAATTCTAGTAAAAACACAAGAAAGAGAGAATGGGTAGAGAATGAAACCAATGCGATTGTTTTTTTTTTTTTGTAATTAAAAAGGTATGGATTTCTAATGTTTTATGCTTCTAATGTTTTATCCCCTGATTCTTAGAATGTGATTTCATCCGGAAGTCTTTCGCAATCCTATGGGTGAGATCTTCTCAACTCGTTTCAAGTAGGTGGTTTTAGTGGGTTTAAGTCTTACACTGTGGCCTTCGATGCTTTCCACCTAAACGCCAAAATAAAAACGGAATGAAAACTATAACAAAAAAAATTGAATCCCTAGTTCGTAGGTTCAATGATTCAATATCGTAATATCGTATCGTAATATCGTATTGTAATTATTTGTGATTTTATTTAAACCTTCAACATAATAGTCAAAAAAATAATATATATAATGATCTATTTAATTATTACATAAAAAAACCATTATTCTAATCTGTCATTAAAACTGTTGTACTTAAAAACTTGCAATAAAAACTGAGTCCCCTAGTAGTAACGACCGATAGTAAATTTAAGTGAAACGTATGGGACTTATGTATTTACACTTAAAAAAGTAATGCAATCACAAACCTCACTCACCTGATACAACCGTGCGCATGCCACTGCTGCGGTTATTGTTGTTATGTGAACGCCAATTAACTTCCATTGATGATCGTGTGGGGGTGTGTGGTGTTGCTGCTGCTGTTGCTGTTGTTGCTGTTTCTGTTGCAATTGGTGTTGGTGTGAAATTTACCGCTGAATTAATTGAAGTAATTATCGGCTCAGCTAGAGTGTGCTGTTGTTGCTGTTCTCGTTGTTGTTGTTGTTGATGTGTTGTACTTGTTGCAGCATCATACGCTTGATTATCAGATTCATAGTCTTCAATTGTGAACTTAACAATGTTGCTTGGTGTTGTTGTAGTGATTGTCGCTGGCGATATTTCATCTGCTCTTGTTTTGGGCGATATGTGACGCTGATGAACAACATCCGATGTCGATGCTGACGATGATTGGCTTAGTGTTTGTGTATGATGTTGCGGCAGGGTTGAATTAATTAAATTTACATTTGATTTTGATAGCAATAATTTGTTTGTTTTTGGTATTGTACCATGAGATGTTGTAGGTGATGTTGCTACTTGTGTGGTTGACTTTTGTCGTAATAGTGCATGCTGAGGTGCACTGGAAATGGGCTTCTGAACAGTTCCAATTGCTGCCAATGATGTCGAAGAGGATTTAGTTTTTTGAAATGTTGGAATATTGCCACCTGTTGCCACTGAAGGTATGATAATAAATTTATGTGAGCGTGAAGACGGTGTGCGAATAAGTCGTGTCTGTTCATCAGCGTCAGACGTTTCGGGACCACTGTCATAAAGTTGACTATGTCGGAAATTAACCGAGGTTTGTTTGCCAATTTGTGAAAGGGTGGGAGTTGAGGTTTTGCCACTTGTACCAGTAATGTTTAATGCAGTGGGTGATGATACTGTTTTCGATAGGGTTTTCGATTTGCCAGCGTTTGTGGATATTTGCTTATCACCTTCGTTATCCATTATATTTTTTGTTGTAATTTTTTGGCTTTATTTATTTATTGTAGTTTTCACGAGACAACTATTTCGGAAACTATTTTTTGTTAAAAGCAATTTATTTTTTATTAAATGCACGAATTTAAATTTAAATTTAAATATTTCTTTCAGTTTAAATAAATTTCAAGCATTTTTAGCATTTGCACCGAAGACATTATTTACTTTGAAATGCACCCGCAAATTGTGTATTATTTATTGCACCGCTTGTGTGAGACGCGACTATCATTTTTATCTGCTCGAAAACAGAACGAGATTTTTCTTATCAGTAACACTTTAAATTAAGATAAAACTTTGCTTCGTGCAATACTGATATTAATCACTCAGCAGAAATTTATTAAATTTAATCTACTTAAAATGATCTTGAAATATGTCATTTCGTGTAACGTTTAATGCCGTTCTAAATCAAATACCCTCGTCTTCGTTACGGTATGTAAGTCAAGCGAAATTGTATAAATCTCGTTGAACTGTTATCGCAAATGCACTGGATTGATATGTAAAAGCAGACGATTCAGAGGTAACGTACAACCAGTACAACCTTATGTCGTCTACTGGAAAATTGTGTGAAAAGTAGTGTTTCAAGCTCTTCGAAGCTTCGGACCGTTTTAATCTTCGTGTATATCTTCGAACCCCACTTTCTGTGTGGGCAAAAAGCTAGCTGTTAAGGCAGAATTACCCTACGTCTACACTGGCTAGACTTTGGCAAGATTTTGCAAAGACTAACTTTTTCATTAATACATAAAAGTTTATGTATATATGTACTTAGGTATAATCAAACATAAAGTCTGACCAAACTCTAGCCAGTGTAGGCGCCTAATTTGTTGTGCTTCAAGGATTCAGCTGCGACCTTCGAACTTATAAGAAGCAATTCATTTAATTATAAGCGCTAAAGTATCAATAGGGAAAGACGTATGAATCTGTCTGTTAATTAACTGGGCATCTACACTGGCAAGATTTTGTTCAAATTTTTATGTGCGAAAGCACAAACGTATTATTTTCGAAGTATTATTTTTTATAATTGGAATATTTCGCAATCATGTTTCCACCTATATTTTGTTTAAGGAATGCGAACAATTATTATTGGTATTGTCTTAAATATGTGTAAATATGATTTTGGACTCCAGGAATAACATCTTGTCGTCCTTTATGTTTTTGCTATTTTACTGTGACATATCATAACAAGTTTATTTTTTGATAAGTTATAGAGAGAGACTTCAAGAGTCGAAATGCGAATGTTCTAAGAACATTTCTAAGAACAATGTTCTAAGAACAGTGTTAAGAAACACTGTTTTGTTCTGTTCTTGTATTATCTCTAGCATTTGCTGCTGTCCCTTTCAATGTTATGCTGAATTCACACGCGAAGTCTTGTTTGTAATTTTAGCTGTCAATTGTTATTGCTTTCAATATAAAATGAAAATTTTTAACAGCTTAAATTACAAACAAAACTCTCGTGTGAATCCAGTTTTAGCATTCTTAATTTATACCTTTTTGTATTTATAATAGTTGCTTTCTTATGCGAAAAAGAAAAAGAACTGAGAGGCTTAAACGAATTGTTCAAAATTTTAAGGGATGAAATAAATCCTTTGGAGCAGCTTAAGTCCGTGTAAGCACACAAACAGCATTTCATGTTAAACAATTATTGTTTTTGTTAGATTTATAGGCCATTATCGGTTAAGTAAGCAGTCCCCTACGATGGTCCTCTCATTAGTTAAAAACAAAGTACATACATCATCCAATTTATCAATAGTAAAGTTGTTTTTACGGAAGAATCGTTTTAACGATTACTTAGAAATGATTTAAGTGGAAAAACGCAACTAATCAGATTATAATGTTGTTGTTGTTATAGCCCGCAGGTATTGTGTAGTCCTTTTGAAGAGTGGTGACCGGGACTAGGTTCACGAAATTGATGACTGGCTCCGGGATTCAGACCGAGCTATTCTTAAAACCAGTTTATAATGTCGACTTCTTAAGTGATACTCTTTCTACTTAGCTACTACAACAAAAAATGAACTGCAGAAGTTCATATTGACAGCTCCAAAACGTTTGTGATGAAGAGCGCTTATGAAAAAGCAAATAAAATAAAAATAAAACAAATTTATTTAAATTGTGATAAAGAGGTTGCTTGAAATATTAGAAATATTAGAATCTTAAATACGAACTAGTTAAGTGAGTTGAACTCAAAATTTGTCATTATTTATGTAGCTGTTGTTTTTGCAGCCCATGGGGATCTGCTTATTAAATCTATTTAGAAAATGGTGAACGGTATTTAGTCATCGAAATTGACGAGTGGTTTGTGGACGTACACCTCGCTGTTCTTGGATCCTCATTACTTAGCAGAGACAGGTGGTGTATACGAATGAGAATATTTAAATACATTTATTTAACCAAAATTATTATTTTATAAATATAAATAGAAAGGTAGGTAGTGCTGGCTGTTTGACCGAGGCTACTTGTAGTCGTGATATGTTCGTAGCGGTACCAAATTACAGTCCGTTAAGGCAGTTAGTGATAGCACACATTGATTAAAATATATATGTCATTTGCAAAATTTATTAGATTGTTCACTCTATCATCAAAAACAAAGGTCAGCCCTTCAAAATTAGTATCGCTAAAGAATTTTATTCTAGTTTTCAAGAGAGTTGAACAAAAACAAACAAGATACTCCAGGACTTCTATAATGCCCGACCTCTAACATTTCCAACAATCATCACAGAAGTTGATTTCAAACTCTGTACTTGCGTTGGGTAGTTCTTTCGATCGAATGACAACATGGATTTCGTGTATTTTTCGAAACAAATTTTTATATCAATTATATTTAATATTCATTATGGAATAATTTATAAATATATATTTTTTATTTGGACATTATGTATTTAAATTAAATAAAATTATATATCCTTAGTAACAAAGTAAAAACAAAAACTACATTATAGAACAAAGACATTATAAAGACTAAGAGAACGTATGAATATCTAAATAGTTGCCGACATGACAAATCCGCCTTAGCAATTCTTAAGAACTCTTAAATTTTTGAGCCATCGTTACAGATCAAAGGTTACTATTACAGTTCAAACTAATTAATTAAAGACAATGTGGTGTGTTAGAAAAAGTTTAAAATGTTTATTTATCGAGTCTATGTGGGGTGTGTGATGCACCGAATTTGAATATTGGCGCGAGCTAATATCAACTAAACTCTTGTATATTTAATAAATATAATTAAAATATTTTTAGCTTTTGTCTGGCGATTATTATATGCATTTATATGCAATTAGACTAGACTTTTGTGCATTTATTGTATTTTCAGAATGGAAATTTTTATTAGAAAAAAATACGAAATTAAGTAAAATGGAGCAAGTTCACATTTCACATTAGTGTGAGATTTCTATGAGATGTGTAATTTACATTTCATGACATAATTGATTGTATTTCGAATAATATAAATAATTTTGTTTAATGCCATTAAATATAATAGACTCAGTAAACTCAGTTAGTGTTTATATTATGGTAAATAGAGTTAACTCTATATGAATCTATTAATAGGCTAACTTGTGCACAACTGTCTCTCTCTCCAATATAGCACAAACTCATCTCATGGTTCTGCATACGATAATACGCGATGATGAAGTAAAAGTCTTGAGATTGAATAAAAAGATTTATTAGAAAGACAACTAACTGAGAACATCAATAATTTAAAGATCTATACAGATTTATAGTGTTACTATAATATGTTAGTTAAATTGTGGGCATCGAAATAAAGAAATTCATAGATGATAAATGTACGTGATATATTATTACAGGATTATTCTTTTGTGGTTCCGAAAGTAATTGCAAATGAACCATATTGACCTTATTGTTGCCATTAGTAGTAAAATGCAACATAATCCAAATGTTCTCTAACTTCTATTACTAGGAATTACAGTATTGGATCTTTTTGAAATTGTTTTCGATGGCTTTTTATCACATAATTGACAATGATTTGACTAAGTTATTGTCGCATGATCAATTTTAAAACATCGAGAGTTTAAGAATTGTTTATATAAACACAATATTCCTGAAAAAAAAAAGATCCAGTAGTAGGCCAGGGGTAATAAATCACATGATTTTGGTGTCCTATTTGCATTACCAAAATCTATAGTTCTTAGATGATCTTATGTTAAAGATACCGAAACAGGTGGTGTTGTGAGGCGTATGGTATTGTTCAGTTGAAACAACATATTTTTTACAACCAAATCTTTAATTAAACGACCTACTTCTGGAGAAAGTATTTGGTTCAGCCATAAAAATAACCGATAAGTATATGGGATGTCAGCTTAATGAGCAATGGTTTGATAGTAAAGAAATACGCGTCCGAATTTAAAAAGTAAGGTCTTCTTTTATCAAGATGAAAAACTTGCTGTGTACCCAGAAGCTGTCATTACCGCTCATACTAAGAATATTGTGATGCTATATAATCTCTATACTCCTCTACTATATCTTTTATTAATTTAATAATAAAAGAAAATGTTTAAAAACATATATTTGAATTTTCGATATAGTCCTTTTTAAAATGAAATATACATAGCTTTTAGGCGATTGACCTGTGGAATCTTCATCAATGCACGAGGAAGGATGTACTTAAACACATCAACATTTTGATAGTTTATTATCAAATAGTTTATTATTAGTATTATTATGAAACTAATAAAATCAAGTTTTACTTTGATGACCGGCACCATGATTACATTGAAGTTGGAAGCGATGTCTTTTACTCAATATTGATTTGGGCATGCTTTAAGTACAGATGCGGAATATTGTTACAACGTCTATGAATTTATAAATTGGAACATTTTTCTTATGAGATATCGGAGAGAAATACCATCTGTATTTTGTATTTACCACGTTTGTGCAAGGACAATAGTTCCTTTATTCTATAGAGCCTAATTTTTATTTTAAAACATCGATGAATTGAGTCCCTTTTAAAACTTAGAAGGTTTCACTTTTAATTCTCTTTTGAATATTCGGGGTAAATTTTTGTTTCAGGTAAGTTGAGCTAAC